TGAGTCTTGCTCAACTGGACTTAAAATTGCCCCATCAAGCAACATTATGAGAAAATAATTTGGCTTCATTGCTAGGCGTCATATTTGTGTATAATGTATCTGTTTTGGGATGGTGCTTGCAAGCTGCTATGGCGCTGCACGTCTTCATCTTTATCAGATAAGCATTCACAAAGCCTCTATTTTATATTTATTGCTTAATGTATATTTTGGGCATAAGATATTCTTCAGAATTTGGTTTATAGTATGATGCAAAATGATGTTCCCAGACGACGGAGAAGGCCAGCAAACGGAACCTTTTCCTTGTGAAATAAAAATGTACAATATTTGTTTTGGACCAGTTTTGTTTGATCATAATCATAAGTAAGTGTACCTATATCTTTATTGAAATGGTCATAGGTCAACACAGGTTGTGAAAATGTGAAAGTTAATAATCATTAGGTATTGTAGTACTAGTTCCATTTTGTGCAACCTTACCCAAATTTAAAGCTGTTCTTTTAATCGTAATGACACCAAACAGCTTCACAAACACTTAAAAACTTGCTCACATTCAAAGACTGCGGACAGCTTCACTCTCATTTGACAGTTCTAGTGATTGTCTTTGAAAGTTTTCCCTGTTGCTAAATACCTGCTACACTTTCCTCATAACCGAAAATTTATGAGTCACATCCCTACGACCACTTTCTAGATGAAGGACCTCAGCAAAGGCGGTGTCTGTCTACCTGTTTTTTTGTTGTTGGAGATCTGACCGATAAGTGAGGTGCATCCTGGGAAGGTGTTACAACTTCATCTGCCGATGTGTTAATCTGGCAACACATTTCCCTGGCAGTCGTAAAACTGGGCTGTGTTATCTTGAATTGCTTCTTCTCAGAGATCCCATCTTCTAAAACCAACAGATAGCACTTCAAAGTAAAGTTCTGAAGAATTAACACCAGCAAGAAGAGTAAAATAAACCTTTCTTCCACTGAACAGCCCAAGAAATATACTAATGCAAACATTTCTAATGACACACTAACATGCATGCTTTTATAGGAAGGAAAAGAAATGAAGACCAGGTTAGGTTTTGTTAAACTAATTGTATTTTATGCCTTTGAAAGATAGCTTATTGACAGAACTTTATGTTGGTATCAAGTTACTTGTTTCAAAGAAGCATTCACACATGCCCCATGTACTTTAGTACCTCCTGATTGATCTTGCAGGGACTGATTTCTACAAACTTGAATCGGCAGAGTAAAAGAATGGCATGAATATTTATGTACCGACACCTTTGCATATATACTACTCAGTTTTCGATGGGGTTATTCAGGTATTCATACTGTTAGCAAACTTCAAGGGAAATAATTACGTGTTTTTGATGTATTGTAAAGGAGCTGAGATTGTGTCCATTACTTTCAATACTATATGTGTGACAACATATCTAAAAGTACTCGATCCCTACAGAATAACCATAGCAATACTATTCATGTGACAACTTATCTAGAAGTATTCAATCCCTACAGATTCAGAATATCCATAGAAATACTATTGGCGTGACAACTTATTTAGAAGTTTCCAATCCCCACGAACTTGCAGAATCTCCCTATCAAGATTTGAGTAGTATGTAATGCAAATCTATGCCTTAGGGGTTCGAGGTTTCAACCAGCCTGAAAGCGGTCTAGACTTTATGTGAAACTGTAAGAAATAATTCTACCATTACATGCTTAAGATAATGCCATACAGCTTGAAACACACGACCAGGAGAAAGGATGTTGTTTTTCGTCGTCTTGGGAACCATTCAAAAATCCTGAAACCTTGCTCCTGTGACAACTGTAATAAATACTCTGCTGTTTCTGTGGCGAAGTTTTTTGAACACTCAGCAATTAAAGCTCTTTTTACTCTTCCATCCCCTCATCAAGTTGCAGTAATGCTTTTGACATTAATTATTTATTCATTGCCGAGCAGTCCGACTTTGTTAGACACAAATGTGTGTAATTACCAGCTTTTCTTTCGAATTATTCCCAGATCCAATCAGGGATGAAAAACTTCGTCTCACTAGTCTCCAGATAAATCTGTTGAAAGTGGAGTGTGTGTTGGCTGTACTCTAAGCAATAAGGGGTATGCATGTAGAAAGACTGTCCAGGGACCTGCTTTCATTTAGAAACTTACCCATATAAGGTCTCAAAGAATTGAAGAAAATCAATTTGTCATGTGAAAAGTAGCCCGATTCACAAGATAAATCAGAAACAGTTTGGGGAAAGGGTTTGTTTAATCTCATTTAGAAGTTGAAAAAGGTGTAAATTTCTTCCAGGGGAAAATGTCATGGTTGTACAAATTAGGTTGACTAGCACGCCTGGGTGCCTTAAAGTGAAATATGGTCATCTGGAACAAACGTGCACTTAACATCATGCTCCTTTACAAGAATCTCGGTGGCTCCATGTCACCTCATTATACCAACTTCAGCCTCATTGAAAAGTTTCGGCTCTACGTTAGTTTTTTTATGATTGAACAGAAAAATGTTGTGTTCCCATGAACAAATGTGCTACTCAACATGTGTTAAGAACCAATTCTCAACATCTTCAAAGCCGATTACTTTGGTTTTTAGCTATTTTTGTGGAATAATATTGATAATAATAAATAATAATAATAATACATAGTCTGTGATTGCTGGTGGATATTGTAACATACAGCCTTACAGTTGTGTTTCTTTACTTGTTTTGAGCAGTATAAAATAAACCATATTGCAAAGCAAAAAAATAAATGAAAAATATGTTTGGATGTTGATATGATGATGTTTGAAATATTCCGTCAGCGGTATGATGGAAACATTAATCATATTGGGAATACAAGGAAGTCTCTGTCGCTTTTCACCTGATTTATCTGCAAAGTGGCAAATTCGCCAAATTCTCACAACTGGGTAACAGAAGTCGTAACTCCATCATCAACGACTTTTTGGCCCGCCTCGCTTATATTTCAGTTTCTATCATCAGATATATCCAAATCAGCCATATGTGCAAGTTACTTGCTAACAAATACTCCCTGATATATTTTGATATCTTCACCCGATACGCCATGCCTGGCTCCCATTTGTTAACTGTATGTTGAACCCCACAAACATCGGGTATGTGGGTGAGAATAGCAGCATTTTAACACTTAGAATGTCTCTATTTTATAAGGCTTTTTTGAAAAATTAACCATTATAATTGGAACAGATTATATTAAGTTCAAGAATATCCCAGTTAAAATATGAAATTGTCACTCGTAAATGACTTATTACATCAATGACACATTCTCAAGTGAAGCTAGTTTGTAACCTGAAGATGTTCGGTACAATAAAGATTCTTGATTCACAGATTCAAATGAGAGATGCAGTGCTTATTGTGGCATTTCATTTTTTCAGAAACAAACCCATTTGGACAAATTGGCTTTGTAAACTAAATTCTTAGAGAGTTATTTAGTATGTACAACCTTTGCACTTTGTGTTTAAGAAGGGTGGATGTTAACAGCAGAGTTACACAGCAGGCCACGGTTTCTTTGTGGTTTGTCAGCTTCCTCTTATCAACTTTAGATTTAAGCGAACACTTGAGATTGAAAACACACCTCTTGTCCAGGGCAGATGTTTTAGGAGCCAGGATTTTAGCTGTCTGTTTTTCACAGTTACAAGAAAGTTCCATTAAGATTGTTCAGAAACGACTTAATCTTTTCCTCCGACAAAGAACCCCCCTTTGTTGTTATCAACCCCTGATGTGTGTATGTATGTCACGGAACAGGTATAGATCACAGGTCGGAGATCAGCTTCTTGAAGAAGTGCTTTGGATGCTTGCACCCTGGGATCAAATGTGATAACATTTTATGATCATTTGCAACTTTGCTATCCCATTCTAAGTCCAGAATACCAACACAAGCATCTGCATTTCACGAGTTATGATTAATAATTCTGTCAAATGTTTCACACGGTTAATTTTGACAGATATTGCCATAAAGTACTCCATGTCTAATAGAATTATAGCCATTTCTAATTCTTCATTAAAGAAAGGTTTAGAAGCCATGTTTTGAACAGTTTTGCCAAAAGAACCCAAATGCTGCCATGTACCTCCTGAAACAGAACCACTTATTGAGCCAAGCTGCATGTATTACATACAGTCTATAGCTAGTTTTCTCTGTGGAAGAAAAGAGGAGTTTCCTATCATTATTGATGTGTTTTACTGTGAGCCATCCACAGAAATGTGCGATGGTTAAGTATCTGTAGAAGTTTCAGAGTCAAGTCCAGACACTGTTGGTCTACAAAACTACATCTGACAGCAAAAATTATTTGTTCTGAAAAAAAAGTTCCATCACGAGCGGGTGAAATAAGTCCATTGATTTGATCAGACAAATCTCAAATTACACTATCAGTATCGGAGACATTCTAAATGATCTGAAAGCAGAGCGATATATGTGATTTGAGAGTAATGCCAGTAAGCTTAGACAACTAAACCATATCTGACAAACCAACAATTGGATTTGTCCCATTTGAACTATGGCTGACAAGTTTTCCCGAGATGTATAATCGAGATCATTTCAATTGACACGTGTGGATCTCTTGGGTAATTACGCCACCGCAACAACCAGAGAGGTCAAATGTAACTGGCGAAAATCTATTGCAAAGGTCATTGTCTGTTTAGGGCAGATTGGGAATAAGATAGTCAGATGTAGTGTTTGTCCTTGTTGACTGAAACGTAAGAAATGTTTCGTTTCATGTTACAGCAGACGTAATTCTGAATCCAGTGTAAATAAACTTAAGTTAAACTGACAGTTAGATTGACGTCTGCATAATAAAATAAAAAAGTTTTGTTCAATTATGTTCGTATTTGATATGTTTTTGTCATTTTTGAAGAGCGTTTGTTTACAAGAAGCACACTCTTTCTCTAATGAGACTCGTTAAAAGTTTTACATTTAAGTTCGAATGTGAAGGGAAATTGTATGTTTCATATGACAGTGATGTGAATGTTTTGTAAAAAGTCTAAAAGTATGTTGTTTTCTTTCAGATTGATCCAAACAGTATAGCTGCCAAAGATGCTCGAATACGAGAAGGGGACCAAATCTTGCAGGTAGGAAGTATTCCCAAACTTTCCATGTCCTTACCAAGACACATGGCCTGTTCCTCATTGCTCATGTTCAGGACTGTGATTTGCATAACACGTCTGCTCAGATTATTTTCAAGAGAATGTCTTCTTTGACGTTAATGTTAACAGAGTGTGACCGCCCAATCTCCACTTTCTAATGACAAGGATGAAATGGAGGGATTATTTTGATAAGTTAAAAAATGACTTTTAACAGGAATTATGCGTAAAGGTTGTTTTCTACTTGTTCCGAATGGATAGATTAGTCTTCTGTGGTTGATGAACACGGTATTTGAGTAAGGCTGCAGAATTCAGCCCATGAAGAAATGATGAAAATTCTAACGGACCCTGAGGTGTGAGCTCATTATTGATTCTGTGCTACTGTTTCAGCGTTCATCTAACAAACGATCACCCTTACACCTCTACTTACACGTAAACCATAAATATTACCTCGGCAGTTTTGACCTTTTGTGCTTTGCCCTCGTAAATAATGAAGCTGAAGTAACATTCAAAGCAGGGCTGTCACTGAAACCCTGTCAGTTGAAGTTTTTACATATTACTGATGTATTGGTGCACGTATCATCCATGACACTTCAAAGAGAAAATACAAAAATGGTATGGTGAAAAAAGCCTGTTGTGTGATGGTCGTCATTATTATACAAGGCACCTGTGATGGTTTAGATGTTAACAACTGGTAGATGCTGAAACGAAAATTGTAAAAGTGAGTCGTGTTTACAGGAAGTGACATCGTAATGAGATGAATATCTTGGATCTGTCATTCTCAAAGCTCATCAGTTAGACGTGTCTGTCTCTAAATGAGCCTTGAAGGAGATTGCTTGTATCTTTTCCATCACAAAACGTAAAAGTAAACATGGTGATGTTTACAAGGTTGTATGTAGTGTGGTAAGGTTGAATGCGGGCGATGTGTTATAACCAGTTTCGTCCTAATTGTAGTAACACAAACAGACATTATCACACACACAGTGTATGCACTACAGCGCTGAAAGATGTTTCAATGTAAGAAGGTGTAGAAATTATATGATGCAGTTATGCCTAAGAAGGCCTGGGGGATTGGATGGTTAAAATGGCTGCAACAGCCACAACTGTTGATCAAGTGCTATGTAACCACCCAGGGATTCCTTCAACACTGTCAATTCTGTTCAGCATGGGAGTGATGACTGTCAAATCATTGTCATCACTTTGTTGAAGATGTCCTGATTTGATGGATGATTACATGGTCAGTGGTTTACCTGTGCCATTTAACCATGAAAATCTGGGTTAGAACTGGTCCTCAAGAACCCATGTCTTTTCTTAGAGGGAACTAACAGGATTAGTTGTCAGTTCATTCAGGCCATTGTATCTGGATTGTATAGGTCGATGCTCATGATGTCAATCACCACGGTGACAGGTCCAGATTCCAGTATTTACCAACACCGCCATCATATTGCTGGAATATCGCAGAGTAGACATTAGGCAAAAAACAAACACTATATCATTCCTACCTATATTGTAATGGTCTTGTGTGCAGACATTTGTTTCTCACATGTTGAGATAATCCTTTCTCTGTTCCAGATCAACGGTGTGGATGTTCACAATCGTGACCAAGCCATTAAACTTTTCTCTGACCAAGGAGCGGACATTACCCTGCTCGTGGCCCGGCCTCAGCTACAGGTATGGCAGCACACCCAGTCTCAAGTCGTTCATGGTGGCCCAGGACATAAACGTGTTGGCTCATCATACAAGGTTTGATTCCCAACAACAGAACAATGTGTGATGTTTTTGGTGTTTTTCCAGGTCCTGATGTTGCTGAAAGTGTTTCACCATGATACTCTAAATCACCCTTTGAATAAGTAGAGTATACTGGCTTATATTTTTGGGATTTGAGCAAAATGGGGAAAAGACACCAAACATGTTTTTCACACATTGTACCCATGTGGGGAATCAAATCTTATTCACTGGCATGAGCCAAAGGCTACCTCTTCTCCCTTTCTTGTTTATGTTATCTGCAGTCTCGATATGATCCAGTGATGTGATGGACTCATAGAAAGCCTATAACAGACATATGTCACTGTGAAAGTTTTGTCCCTATATACCAAGTCGTCAAATTTTGTCTCTAGGTTCCAATATTGATGGGAAATTTTCAACATAATTGATTACTGGTGTTTTCTGTAAATGATATCATATTAAGCTAAGTATTTCTTCAGCTCAATTCCAAAAATAGTTAGGTTTCATGACAGCTTTAAATCTTTCCTTAATTGATTGCTTTACTAGCACATAAAATAAGAGTAGTGTATGACGTTACGGAAGATCCCCCTTTCCTGTGGTTTACACTTAAGAGTCTTATGGCGGGGGAATAAACATTTTCTATGAATCAAAATTCTTTATTAGGGCATGCTTTCAAAAAGCCATTATCATTGACATCAGATCTTCACAACATTCACATTCACAGCAGGAGATGAGAAATTTAAACCACAAACTTCAAATCCGAAAAAATGATTTGTTAGTTGTATGAAATTTTTCAAAACAGAAATTTGTCATGAGTTAACAGTCTGTTTGTACAAAGTAATGTAATCCAGATTTTTACTCTTGATTCTTGAAAATCCAAACCCAAAAATAATCCATCGTTGTTCTTGTTACTGAACTTGGCTCAAAGAAGACTTCCTGAAAAACATTGATGATAAACAACATCAAGCCTTTGATGTGATACTTGACTTCCTCCAGTCCCTTGTCTTCCTGCTGGGTGAAAAGCAAGGCATCTAGAATTCAAACCATCCATGGTGGGGTGAAGAGGAAACTAAGACTCCCTGTACTGTATGTCATGCAGGGAAATTCAGATGTATACGATCAAAAACTTTGATATCTGGTTAGAATAATAGGGCTTGTTCTCTTGTCTATATAGGTCTAACAATTCTGTCAGATGAGGCAGGTTCTAAGTAGTTGCAACACACTCCACATTAACCACTGATATGCTTAACTTGAAAAACCAAAAAAATCTTTTATGTCTAAAAAAAAACCCCGTGGTGGCCTTGTTTGAAAGAGAAAACAAAATGCTGTTCATTGCAGTCATTGAATTTACAATTCCGTTGATAATATCCTGTAGATAGAAATTATGAAACTAGATTTGGAGGGTTAATGCCCCTCCCTTATCATTGACCTGAGGCTAGTTCTCCACATAAACATTCTCTCCAACCCAGGATAGGTATTGTAGATCTCTAGCATATGTGCTCAGTGCCTGATAGCCCAGAAAAAAACATGTCCACATTGTGTGTAAACCCCAGGAGTGGGGCCATCCAACAGCAGGGGGAGAGATATGTTTGTTGCTTCTAGATCAAGCAGCAGGTTGAAGCCATTTGGTCAGATTCATGTTGTGTTTGATTGTGGGCTGATATACTTTTTTATGCCATTTGTGACATTTTTGGAAGGGTTAGATTTCTTGTTTTAATGGTAGACAGGTGCGCATTGTGTGAAATGATGCAGATCTGATTGCTGTTTCTATCAGCTTCGGATTTCTTGATAACATTCACATTGCACCATTGCCTGGTTAATGACACCCAACAACAATGCTTGCTGTCAGAAAACCCCTTAGTCAATATGTTGAGATTGATGAAAAAATTGTACAAAAACACATACTCATCCTTCTGAATTTAAAAGGTCATTGGCAAAGATGATACTGCTGAAAATGGATGTTAAAGGCGATGTCAATTAATTTGCTGTCAGTTTTATGCTCAAAGTGAAAAGGATTGGGTTTTGATGCTCACTAGGCAATAGTGTCCACACAATGTCATTATCATCATAGTGATATGCGTTAAATGCCACTTTCAGCAATATTGATCATGTCATGGCAGCTTAATGTGGATAGAAATGTGGCAGCAGATCCTGTCATTCCATTTGTCAATTGCCAGCATGGCTTTTGAAATTGCTTCTCTAAAATGATGGGGCCAGACAAGGCACTATTTTCTTCCCAATTTTGTTTTTATATCTTGCTTATTCTTGACTCTTTTTGATCAACTTGGGGAAAAACTGTTCATGTCATGACTTTGCAAACTTCAAAAGATTTCCTACCTAAATAGAGTCTGGTACAGTCTCACATTAACAATTACAAGATATTTGTCTGCTATCAGCTTGATGATAACATGGTTATTTAATGTATATTCCTTATCTAAAATTTCTTGTGTGTAGCCCAATAATTTAGATTTATTTGGAATAACATCACATAAACATCTTTCTTATCTGGGCAGAAAACTAAGACAAAGTGTTTTGGAAAACAGCACTGATTGAAGTTGGCTGATAAGAAGTATTCCCTTACAACCGTCAACAGTTAAACAAATGTTTTTTTGTTTAAAAAGGTACTCAGATTTTATGGATAATTTACAATAACAACATATACCGATTTGCTGATGGGATAAAACAATACCAGCAACAAAAACTAAATTTGGGCCACTGTTGGAACAATAAGAAAGTATTTCACGCAGCTCAACACAATCCCAAACTACAACTGTTTGGTGTATCAGTCTTATCTTTTGTCCTGCTCTAAACGAAAAATCAACCTTTCCTTACTGGAATCCTCTTGTGGATGCAAACAGTTCTTTTGTATCTCATCTAGTTTCTAGTATGAATCAGTGATGAAGGTCTAACTTGCATCCTCATCGGATTTGAAAGTCAATATGGTTTGCAGTAATTACTCTATATTTAAACATTACTGCTCTGGTCTTTTGGGTACAAATTACAGGATAGTAACAAGAGTATTCTCCTTAGTCTGACTGGTGCTATTTCTTCTGCAGGTCATGACAATCCCAGCTGAAAATATCACAGATAAGATCCCTCTCCAGGGAAATTGCTTATCCAGTTAATCTTCAACGAACTTTTGACTTGACCATCTTCCGTAAAAAATGAAATAATTATTGCTTGAAGTCATTACTCTCTCAGGGAGCTCCGTGCCTCATTCTTGCCTGGTCCACAAAAAGCAATAAGCTCATTTTCTACATGATGTAACTACTTATAGCGTAACAAATATCAGGTCTATTACATCGGCAGTGGGTCTAACTGGAGGGTGGCTTTAGGCAATACATAGTTAATTTTTCAATAAGGCTTATTTAAAGCATCACGGGAGTTCCATACCAAAAGAGGATGCCTCAAGAATCTGGATGAAGAGATACCACGCTTCGCTATGCCTGGTAGCCATCATGTACACTGTCATGGCATTATTAAGCTTAATTCTTTAATAGGCTGTATCAAAGACCTGCAGTTCTTGCAGCTGGCATGATTGTAAGGCGACATATTCAACCCGAGGTCATCAGAACCAGCAACTGGGGAGACTTCAACCCTGACACCTATGTTACGTCTGCCATCCTCTTGCGTCTGCTCAGGCAGGTTTTCGCATCTGCTTTCATACAGTTTGGACGTCTGCTGCGAAAAAGTGCAGCAGAAATTAGGGGTAATTGGTTGTTGCCTGCTTGAATGGATTTTAAAGTGAACTTAGCTAGGTGAAAGAAGCGCCAAAGGTTTCTGGAAGGCCAGTGGTTAATTAACAAGTTAGACACTAAATGAACAGATTTATGCCAAGACTGGACAGGATAATAGATGTTTTAAAGAGACCCATAGGAAAACATCTTATTAGTATGTCTTGGTTACTCCTAATGAGAAAGTCTGTTTCTCGGTTTTCCCATCTTACAGTTACTAAGTTTAATGAACACAAAGACCTCAAGAGACGCGGGAGATTGATGGTGTATATCAGTAGGTTGCTGTTCCTAACACAGTCTCGCAAGAGAAATTATGCCCAAGAAAAGATTAAAACTGTACAAGCGGAAATGATTTGTCTGTGAACCCGAGGTCTTTGAGTGTAGAGATCTATTCTCAAAAGACTTTTTGCTCTTAAAAAACACATTTGTCTTTGCTCAGAAGTTCAACTTAGAAAGTGATCTCCTGACTTATAAATGAAATCCAACATTACTCTTTTATCTCTGACAAACCAGGTAGCCTCAAATGAAAACATTGATGAAATGGAACTCTTCACCAAGGCAAGACTGTATCATGGTACCACCTGTCTTGTCTATGGTGAACAGTGTATCAGTTTGTTTACTTTTGGTATCATTGATGTAAACAAGAGCTTCCAGTGGCACCAGCACCATTATACCATTGTTAAGCTGAGGAATTTCCTACATCTAAGCTCCAGGACATAACAGGTGCTTGTTGGCTGGGAAGATGATACACAAAGTGGACGTGTTGCGGTACTGGACTCCAGTGTAACAGATGCGTATAATCTAGTCTTTGATGTTGAGTAACTGCTTTTGTATCCGAGTTGTCTTCATGGACTTGCCTGCCAAGTTTGAGCCAGAAGAATTTCTTTCCTGCATCGTATCGTATGGAGACTCACCGCCACTTAACATGTTTGTTTCGGGTTATTTATTGTCGATTGTAGGAATTGGCACCAGACTTATGTTTTTGATTCTTGGCAACTCTTTGAAGTTTGGAAATGATTAGTCAAGATCTCTTGATACTTTCTTGAGGGAATGGCTGTTATTCTGGCATAAAGGGAAATTGTACGCTCACATCTGTAGACGTGTCGCACTTTTATATTGTTTAGAATTACACAAAAATATCAAATAGCATATGTGACACCTTTGATCTCAAGGCAACCCGAATATGCTTAAAAGGGGATGGTTCTAATTAAATACAAGTAGAAAGGGTTCATTTTTGACAAAAGTTCTAATATACAACAGAGATTAACAAGTAATTTGAAGACATGTAAACCAACGAAGTATAAGGTCTTTTTACCATGTTGAGTTGGCGAGCTGGTTAGATACTTCTTTAACATTAGTTTCAAACTGTTGCAAATAGCTTTATTGACAGAACAATTAGTGGGGCATCGCTCAGTTCTATATTCAGACAGGTGACCTATTTGCCCTGTTTCTTCCTGATTTCATCATCTATGTATTTCCATCCGGGTAAATCTTGGGAAAATATTATTTTTTTGTCAGCATCTATCCCATAATGCAGATTTAAAACTACAAATCTTCCCCCTCCAGCTGCTGGTCTGATCAGCAGAGGCCTTCTTCTGTTTTCACTGTAAATATAAGTAGTTGTGGATCTTCAGGACCAGCCCTATTACCAGCGTCTTGGGAAAGTACAAATGGGTAAAGGATGGCCAGTGCTAATAAATTACCTTTATAAATGCTGCTGACAAAAAACAATCAACTGTATTTGACAGCCTAATCTAGATTTGGTTACATTTCGATTGTCTGATATTTACAGACCCAATTTCAGCTGTGTTTAATGTTGATTGACTCTCATTAAGTAAGCATAATTCCTGACTAGACCATGAAATGTGTGTATAAGAAGATTTCAGGAGCAAATCCAAAACTGGCTAAAAAAGTATTTTCAGATGACTGCATGCATTTACCAAAGTTCATCTCCTCTCCTGAAGATGCAAGGAAGGGGGATAACTCTAGTTATGGTCCCCATGTGTAAACATGTTTAATGAAGCTTTAAACGACCAATGGACTTGATGGTATCATAATGTTCTAATGCTATTCACATAAGGTATTTCATAGCTAATGAAGTGTTTAATTATCTCATGATGTTTTCCTTAGAACTACAAATATTTATACCATGATGCTTATGCATTGCATATGTTTCACAAAATTAATGTTCTTGTCGCATGTTTTAATGTAAATAAAAGTTGCCACTGAATGTGACCCAAGGGTTTAAACTGATGTGGATTTGATTTATTTCTCAGATAAGGTGACAGCTGTACTTTGATGGCAAAATTGTACTTGGTTGTGATAGATGCTTCTGTAATGACCTATATATACCCAGCAGCCTACCATCAACACCATTCATAACTAAACAAACTGAAACATGTGTCTGTTAAACTGAAACCACACAATGTGCCACAAGATATAGCAAAAGGTTGTCAAATTTTAAACTGAAACTTTTATAAGAAAATGTGCAGTCTCTAAATTCTGCTGATATGAGAATGGAATTCACATTTGTTCTGATTACATGCTACTTTATTAATATTCCAACAATCTTACACCAAAAAAGGGCTTCACTTATTGTACATTGTTTCAGAATCAAACCTGGACCTTTGCATAATGAATACTGTACCGACAGGGCTTCCCAGTTACCAACGTGAATAAAAATCTTAACACAGTCCTTTTTCTAAAACTCTTTGCTACATTTCATGTATTCATTAACTGACAAAAAATAATCCTCAAGGTATAGTAAAACAAAATTGGTAGCCGCACTGGTTTACTCTTAAAGACTCCAGGGTTTTGCCCCACATTAAACAGCCCTGTTATAGTGCTTAGCACCAACCAACTTGTCCATATAACCTGTATTCAGTAAACTTGTAGTTTATTTCCAGTGTAAGTTGTGGGTTTAATTACAAAAAAGGTTGTTTACCTGGCAGGTACAGAGCTTCTTGATCTGAGAAACAGTTGCTAAAAACATGATCGGTGGTTAAGGTTAGCTTGCATTGCTGACTATGATTTTCTCAGTTGTGTCTTCGAAGCATTTTCACCACTGTAGGGAAATCAAGATGCAACTCAGTGGGTAAATATCCTCCTGCTTCAACATAAAAACTGGCTCAGTAGTTTAACACAAGTCTTCACACTGACAGTAATGCTTTACCTACAACTACTTCTTATACGTAAGTCCTACCAGTCTCACAACTGATTTTGCTTGCCTTCATGTGCAGTTTGTAAATGTGAGATCTGAAATTAAATTACTGCAAAATAAACACTTTCGTAGGGTTAAGATGAAAGATTTGTTTTTAAATATCTACTTTCCTTGTCTTCAAGTTGCACAGAATCCTGTATCTGAGTATTAGTCACAAGGCTGAAGATGTCTGATAAGAAGGGTGATTTATATAGCTCAGTTTAATTAACAGTGGATACAAGTTGTTATAATTCTACTGTGAATGTCTGATAGCTCTTCTGTATGTGGAGGTAGCAAGGTACAACTAATATCTCCGTCCTGACTGAACTCTCCGTGGGGCCTGGGTTGATGATGAGCATTTCTTGATTCCTCCCTTTCCAAATATAGTCTCCTGATGAATATCTGTCTTAGACACCTTACCTGATAAGATTCCTGCTTTCCTCATTTGCAGATGGCTGGCGTGTTGATTTTGTTCCAGCTAATCACACATCATAAATCATGCGTGTCATGTAACCAGTTCATATCTAGCTTGAAAAATATTGGTTTGAATAAATACATATCATTTATTGCTTGTATATGTATTTTTGTTTCTGGCATCTACTGTCATTTCATTATGGAAGATCAACCTTGTATCCATTTGAAAAGTAAAAGCGATCATATCATTTTAGTTTTTCGATCATAAAGATAATAATCATTAAAAATGTTTCTAAATATATTTGTATTTTTTTACAGTGTGATGATGGATTCATGGATGAACACAATATGGTTTTGGATGATCTTCACATGGATTTACTGGAAAAACATCACCATGACAACATGGCTTACATGGCCCATATGCTGGCAAGGGTAGGTAACTCTTTGCACATATTGCAGATGTGACGTAAAAGTTTACTCACTCACTCACTTTGCACATATTACTACTGTTGGATTGATATTTACCAATTGTCATTTTCAGTAACCCTCAGTGAAAAGATTGATATTAGAATGGAAATATGTGCAATGTGGTTAGGTTGAAGGGGAATTGGATTTAACGTTGCAGTCAAGATTGATGCTTAGTGATATGTGTGCTTGTGTTGGTCCTATATTGCCAGTCATCTCATTCATCATGGCAGTGTTTAACATGCATACACACTCCAAGCCAGTCAGTCCATGTTTTGTCTTCGTAATGCAAAATGCCAGGCAGGGTAACATTAAATACCATCAGTTAACATCTATTGGTATGAAGTGGCCACTGGTCGACAACTACTATTCGGGCAGATATTCTATCAACTTGACCACACAGCTAATTTGAATAGGCTTGGAAATTTGTTTCAGCAATGACCTTGGTTCTCCATAGTCATTAAAGAGACCCAGTCAGTTTCTTTAACCTTTCTTGCCTGTTGAACAAGGAATTTATAATATATTGCTGTGAGAAAATATTCAGTTGCTGCAACAATCAGATGTAATTCTCAGAGATTAACAAACTGTACCCCAGCTTGTAACAGAAAATATTCAGTTGATCCACCCAGCTGAGGGGCTTGTCTCCAGGATATCTTCAACCTCACTTCCTTCCCTATTTAAAGAATCTGACAAGAGAGGGGCCAGATGTAGAGCGATACTATGTCATCAACACCTGTGATGAGACTATTACATTGGGTTTACTAGAAGCAGGAACTTGTAGAACTGGTCTTGAAGATGGCAAGATTAGGTTCCTGGTATTGTCAGAATTGTCTTGTGAAGTAGTTCAGGTGATTTGCCTCAGACAATGGTTGTGAGCGTTTGGAACCCAATCTGAAATTGCGAGTGGCAAGAAGTACTGATGTTTGTCTCTGCTGAAAGAAACACGCCTGAAATATGCCCAATTTTCTTGAGGCAATATCCGCTTCTAGAATTCCTTCTTTCACTGTAAAGGGAGTTGTCTGTAACTATCTGAAGCTGTGTGTATCAACTGAGATGCGAGGCAGGGCCACAGAATCTTGAACACATCTGAAAAGCAGTAAAACTGGCAAAAAATTACTTGAAAATAAATTTATTTGATTGTCATATCTGTCTTCTGTACAAATAGGTGGTGCAAATTCATAACCTTTAGACATAGTTCCCAACATATGTCAAATAGTTATCAGGCAAACAGTATCGGAACCACCTGAAGGTCATACGATCAGGAGAACTGTCTGCCGCAGTCAGGAAATTTATATTGGTTGGTGTCTGGAAGATAGCATATTTCCTAACAGTTGCAACAAGAGGCAGCATATCATCTTGAAGATGGAGACTTTGTAATGGGTAGTGATGGCAGAAATGATGGGGATGAAACAGATGGATTTTAGCACAGGCAGATGGACCCATAAACCACCTGACTCAACCAAGACGTCACACGGAATCCTTGTCACTGTCAGAGCTGCAGGATAATACAAGCTTGCTTCCCTGCTAGCCTGGAAACTTAGTTGGCACTTCCCTTCGGACAGCATTAGGCCCTAATTGTGATGAACACTGCTATTATGTTGTCAGCAGAACCAAACAAATTCTATCCAATCTGATTCAGCCACTTTCATGTCTGAAATGTGCGTTCCCAGTTTTCTGTTTGATATGGATTGATGAACACATCAGCATTGTTGGGAAGGGGAGTATTAAATACTAGTTTTGTGGACTGTTCCTATTATTGTGCTATTAGTTAGGGATCAGGCTGTCTCACAGATACTAATCTGCCTTGGGAACTGTCTCTTATATATACTTCGTTTGTAATCTACTAGCCAAGGAAGGAGAAGCACGTGGCATGGCTGAATTTACAAGTTAGATTTATGTCAATCGGGAAAATGTGGTTATGATTTTATGACTTTTTTTATGATCCATGCAACATAATTTATAGTAGTGAATATATTTGTGTCTCATCTGCTGCCATTTAATGCTCCTGCTCTCAGTTATTCGGTGCAGAAAAATATCTAAAGTGCAAGATAAAAAGTGTGACCTAAGGAAAAACATATATTCCTACCTCATAAAGTGAAATGCTTTTCATTAAATGCACCGAGTCAAGCTTGGAATATATACTTCGGTGTCTCACAGTTGAACACAAAATGCCAGACTTTACTCACTACCAATAGTTAGTTTTCCAAAGAACAAAGTGACTCCATGTGCCCTTCAATTACTTAATTAAAATGAAAAATAAAATACAACTGATTTAAGTCTCAAATGAAATGGCCATGAATCCACTTCCCTAAAATAAACAAACTTTAACTGGTTGAAAGTGACTTTCACTGTGGAAGCCAATTCTGTGAAGCTAGGTCTCCATATGTTAGGGCTACAGCCTGCTGAGCGGAGTCCTCACTGCCCATATGCTGGTATGGACGAACAGTGCGAGTTTGTAGTGGAGGCAACAAGCAACTGTGGAGTATTACCTCGGACAGGTAATTATTTTCACAACTGCCTGCCTCCATACAATCACTACTATACCACAACACAGGGCGTTTTTGTCAAGTCTTGTTAGTGGAGGCCATGACTGCTTAGTAAGGCAGTCACATCTCGGGGAGAAACCTAGGGATATTGGACAAAAACAGATAATTAGGCGACCTTGAGGTAACAGAAGGCAAGGAGGTTGTCAGTCGGTGTAGGTTGGTGCTGGGATTACTTTGATGAATGGGATTATGAAATAATGGTGTTGTTTGAGACCGAAATGGGACAGCTCCCAGATTGTGGTCGTAGCTGCAGATCTGGGCTTCAGGAAACGGCACTTCAGCCCATGTTGTAGGTTGCTCTGTGGGAGTTGCCGGGATCGATTCAGTCACGAGGGTAAATGGGTAGTACAGGTGTTGCACAGCAACATTTGTGGATAACTGTTTCGAAATGACTCCTATAATGTCATGATGGGACAACCGAGGCTGTAGGCTGGCTGATCTATATCCTCTCCGTAAGTAAGTGAAAAGTGTTTTTTTGGTAATCTATTTTCATGACAGTCACTGACTGGGTTTCACACACAATTTCCACGTGGGTATCAAACCCAGGGTTTCTGTTGGATGAGCCAACACTTTCTCTACTTTCTCTCCATGAAGAACTCAAACCAGAAGGGGTTTGTCTGCCACATATGTAATTGTTAAGTTTCAATCCAAATTTTCAGGGCCTCTTTGTACCTTAACTGTACATAACAGTTTCAAAGAAATGTGCATGTTTTGTAGGACTAAATTATTAACAGCCAAATAATCAAATAATGAAAGAATGCAACACCAATTGTGATTCTGTGATCTGGGGTACCTGCACTAGACTGGCAAGGTGTGCATTTGGGAGACAGGCAGGAAAAATAGTTTATTATGTCCTTTACTTGGAAATTTGGTTATATTATATCCAGAAGAATGTTAGCCTTTATGATTAAGCAGAACGAATACAGCCTCCCTCCGTTTGGGACAGTAACATTTCACCTTTCATTGAACATCTCCGAAGACCTTACCAAGGTCATGGTGTGGAGTCAAGGAGGCAGTTGTCGGGACATGTGGGTATGTATGTACTTCACCCAGACCGAGGAGAGAAGAAAAGGATGCCAGACAATCAAAGGCCGCTTGATGAGTTGGTTTATCAGAGGACACATCAGAGATGATGTCAAGATTGTCCATGTTTTCCTACAGCCTCACCTCCTGGTGTTGACAGGAACTTCACCTGGGCTGTATCACAGGAGGAAGTTTTTTGGCTTGAATTCCTCAACATGTTCGTGTGCAGGTAGTCTGTCATGTTGCCACATGACTTGTAGGCTTCATCCTAACTCAAGGTCCTTCCAGTGCTGGCTTTAACTCAAGGTCGGAATACAATGCGGTATTCTATTTCCATGTGGGTTTTAGTGCTGATTGTATGAACTTCATACAGTGGAACATCATCAACTCACAGGAATTTCTGACAGTTTAATTGTATATCCTGGATGGAAATATTATTTTCTGTGTGGTCTGTCGCTTCTACTTTATGTCAGTTTCAGTTGTCTGAGAACTTAGTATGGTTTTGTGTTGCTTTTAGTAGGGGACACCAGAAAAGGGTTCAAACCTTGTTGCCATTTGCGAAATTGAACTAGGGCCTTAGGTACTGCCCAGGTACCCCACTGAGAATATTACAGTGAAATGAATACATTGCTAAATAATTTTGTGTATGTGAAATGAATTGTATTACATGACAGAATGTCTTCTGAAAAATGTTTATTGAGATGCTTCTATTAAAAAGATGCTCCATGTAACTATTAAGAAAACACTCAAGATAGAAAAAAGGTCCCTCCAGTGTCTTATTGTCAGGTCCTACAGCAGAAACAGCATAGGAAGGAACAGAGATGATTGTGGTGGAATCTTGCAGGTAGTCCCTAATTTCTTTTGAATAGCGCTGCCACAGTGGTGTAGTGGTTAGAGTGGCTGCCTGGAGAGTGGAAGGCTGCGGGTTCAATCCCCAGAAGCATCATACCAAAAGACGTTAAAATATGGTACTTATTGGTCCCTGCCTGGCTCTCAGCGTTAATGGGTACAAAAAGGACTGGTCGGCTCGGACTCTACTCCAGTTGTAGTGAGTGAGTTTAGTTATACACTGTTTTCAGCAATATCATGACGGGGGACACCAGAAATTGGCTTCACACATTGTACCCATGTGGGAATCGAACCCGGGTCTTGGTATGAGGAGCAGATGCTTTAACCATTAGACTACCCCACCGCCCCCTGCTCTGGTTGTAATTATGCAAGGTGTAAATGAAGTCCTTACATTTTCCCAGTGTGAGGGATGCATTCTCTCCATCAGTACATAGCCACCTGAATGACAACACTATACAAGTCCAGTCCATACATGTGTGTGGATTCCACTAGAATCAATCACATCGATGGATTCGTGTCAATTAGGACTTCAGTAGGCAACTTATGGTGGAAACTACACAGCCTTTGTGGGCTGCGCAAACCATAGAGAGCAAAGTCTTCTCACGGCTTTGATCTTTCTATGTGTGTATGTACTGTTCCAGTGACGATGAAACCTGGCCTCCAGCAATTGAAGAGCTCCAAAGGGGAGCTTATTTGTCATGAATATCTTTATTCCTGGCCATCCAAGCCTGTAATAGGGGATCTAGTGAGGGAAAAAAAGATGTATTCATTTAATATGATGTATGTAGGTTGAGAGAGGGGGCCCTGACAACTGTCAACACTGCACAAAGACTTTGTCATCTTTGAGGTCTCCTGATACTTGGTATAATTAGCACCAGCTCTTGTTGTGCAAACATGCCAAAGTTGACCATTTTCTTGAAATCGGAGACGGAATGAAAGGAATATAGGTCAATAAAATACCTTTCATGTCATTGTAAAAGAGGGGAAACAATCCAAACTGGGTCAGGTTAGGAGACTACCAAAATATTTACTTTGACGTCCTCCTGGACGTTTAATGCTTATATTAGCGTGAGACGGTAGCAAGGAGGGGAGAGACGATCACAGTTCTGTGTGAGTGTGTTATCTTTTTATGGTTCTTGTTAATGTTTAGAAAAGAACACATGGAATATTTTACAAATCATTGAGCAAGCAGATCAGGGTGGGAATCTGTCGCACCATTTCAAGACCAGGTAACATGGACGGCAAATGTCCTTTTCCCATGGGGAATTATGGAAACGAAGCTGTGTTCTCTTGAGAAAAGTGGGATTATGCGATTTATGAGACAGGGTTTTGTTTGATGTTGGTGCAAGACAAGGCAGAAGACACCAACGACCAACTACCGATAACATAAGCTCATTAGCCACAGTACAAACGTCTGGTGCAGCTTGGCATTGATGCTTGAAGGGAGATCCCTTGTGTTCTGTTGATATCAAGAGCTTTGAAGTTTATCTTCACCATGTTTTCAATGGACATGAAAACAGGTGTTCACGCCAGTTGTATCCAGGGACGTGTGTGTTGGTAGAGTGCAACATTATTGGCAGGGATAGTCTCCCTTCAGTTGCTGCGTGTGTTTGGGGAATACAGATATTTGGGGTGATCTAAGGGCTTTTGTGGCGCAAATTGTTTGAAATATTAATCTGATCTAATATACAATGTATAAAGATTGTACTTGTTTTTAATGTGCCGACGGTCTGCTTTCTATGGGAATTTGACATTTATTTGTGTTGAGTTTGGGGTATCGTTTGCAATAACATGGTTTGTGATAGCCTTTTTATTGCCTGAACATCTGACATGCAATCCAATTTGGTTTGTTTTAAATTTCAAAGTGATTGTGTTGAGATGTGAAAGGTAACACACAGTTTTAGCGTTTATTTTCAAATATGTTTTTTCATTTGTCTCGGGACTTCAATGGAAACTTATCCAAATTATTTTTATTACAGCGCCACCTAGATGAAGAAGGGGGAACAACTGATACTGCTACAACTGAGAACTCAAACAAACATGAGAAAGACAGTGGTGTTGGGCGAACTGATGAAAGTACAAAAAATGATGAAAGTTCTGAACAGGTGAGCTCATTGAAACCGAGTAGTTCCATCTAATTTCTCCATTCTGTGTTGGTCCTCAGAATATAAGTGAAGTGAATATGGTTTTACGCAATATCATGGCAGGGGACACCAGAAATGGGCTTCACACATTGTACCCAAGTGGGGAACCAAACCATGGTCTTCGGCGTGACAAGTGAACACTTTAACCACTAGGCTACCCCACCAGCCCAGAAAATAAGTGAAATGTATGAATAAAAACATATATTTTAAGTAGCTGCATCACAATTTTCTGAGTACCAAACCTTTTTTCATTTCTGGAATATTTTCTTACATGGACACCTTCAAAGAACTTTAGAAAAATACTTAAATAATCTGTATTGGTTTGTTTCCACATTAAGACAATTCCTTACTTTAGATGGTCGTCGCACAACTGTTCTGGCGCCATCACTATCAGGCAGTTACTGCCTGTTAGAACACATTGCAGTCATTTACCATCATCAACTCTGCAAATCAATTGTCATCTAATTGCAAACCAGACAGTTTTGTTTCTAGCTCAATGACTTTGCTCTTTGAGTGTGGCCTGATTTAGGATATGCTTTGAGGGAAGTAGTATTAGGCAGCCATTTTGCCCTTGTACAAACCCTTTTAGCTCATAACTTATGACCTTGTCTCAACTTGCAGTGGTTACGGCCAGCTTGATGGCCTGTATGAACTGTAGTGCTTCCATTGGGCAATAACAAAGCCTTCATGTCAAAATGGGCGTCGTCGTGATTCAGCAAAGCTTTTCATGTTTTGAGTGTAATGGAAAATTGGTGAAAAGAAGTGCACAGTTCGGGGATTCTAAAAAAATTGTTTTAAACACTTCCTCGTTATTCTTGAAACATCAGGTCAACACTTGTGGACAAATACATCAAGTGGTGTTAAAGCTAATGAAGTCATTTCTACCAAATAAATTGTAAATTGTTATCAGTTCGTGTGTTATGTATTGTGGATTATCAGTAAATTCGCCTTATCAAAATACGTGTATCACTTCCTCATCTGGTTGTCGTCATGGAAATAAAGGTGATAGGTGACTTAGTGTATGGGGGGCCACTGGGACCACAATCTGCTTTCTAACACACTTCACTGGCATTCTTCTCCTGATGATAAAAAAGGATTTATGACCCAGTAAGTACACCATACCAGATTATGTTTATGGGGCATTGTTTCATGCAAAGCCTGACATTTGCCAAGGTATATTTTTTCACTCTCATTATCACAATGTGTTTCTTATTCCCTAGTTTCCCATTACATATCAGAAAATAGAAAAAGCTCATACATTGTGTCACTTAGTGCTACAATGAGGTGAAATGTAACAAATGAACAATGAATGCATGTTTCTTTGGAGGTCTACTTTCCAGCGGTATATAAACTATTTGGAAATTACATTTATCAAAGTGGTTCCTGAAATCATACAAGACATAATCAAGACCATCTATACTGAACAGAACAAAATTTGGTGTATAAAAATATCATGCACCCACCTATACACTCAGAGAATCCCAGTGTTCACTGTAGAGAAATATTCCCTGAAATATTCAGGATCCCTAACCTATTTCCTACTATATATTCAAGGATAAAATAAAATTCTAATTCATCAGTGACGTGGTACTTGGATCTATAAAACAGGTATCACATCACAATTTTAATATAACTCATGCTGACATTAGACTTGACGAAAAAAATGTAAGACTTTTTATACATAAAGCTACAAAAATATTTGTAGCTTCAAGACAAAAGGTATCAGAATTACCAATTTTTAGGCATATTTCCAAGTTTAGCAAACTTTATCCTGTTTGTATTCTTAAACGGTGAAAGAGAGAAACAGGATTCTGTAGATAAAGACCTCCCAAAGATTATGTTTATCCAGAAGCTATGGGTTCCTTAACTATTCCACATCTATTGGCATAAATGTTTAGCGGAGAAAGTAGTGTATTTTTGCAGGATATCTCCATAGATATGTGGCCTCTGGAAGTGTTGTTTACAAGTTCAGTATCCTGCAATCACATTAAAGTCACTTAACATTGTGAAATCTAGTAACAGAGGGGCTTCATTCACTCGGAGGGCCATACATTGTGTGAACAGGTTTTCTTGAAACAACCACGTGAAAATATTTCTTGATGCTGATAAGCTTGGAAAAAAGTGTGTGTGAGCATAATGATTTTGGGAAATTTGTAGTGCTTTGATGGCCAAAGATAGGAGCACTTTCCTCAGCAGTTGATGAGGTTGTAGGTCAGGGGTTACAGGTCATGTTTATCAATCGAATGTAATTTTGGCTGTAAAGAACAACTAACCAATCCCCTCTACAGTGCACAGGTTCGTGTCATTGTAGAACTGACAAGTCATTCAGGCAGATGCTCTGATTAACGTTTATGGAACTGACAGTAATTTTTTTTTTTCTTTTCAGGAGACGTTTGACATTGAGTGCCTGACTCCACCAACGCACATGAAGTTTCCTCCTTCGTGTAATCTGAATCGGGAAGGACTCCATCACAGCAATGAGAGTGTCACGTCAAATGATCCTGAGCTCATGAGCAATGACATTTCTGCAGAGGCTTGTGATCAGTTCCGCCAGGTGCTTCAACACCGTTGTGTCAAAGGTGAAAGATCACCGAAGAAGGACGGCAAACGTAAGGACTCTGGTAGCAGCATCGAGAGAGAGCTGCATCTCCTCAATCGAGAAATGGAGGAGATAAACTTAGAGTGTCAAGAAATTGTGGACTCGCATATTAAAGATCAGATGAAACTGGAACACCATAGAGACATCTTCAAAATAGAGCCACAAAAAAGTCCACGAATTGTGCCCCGAATGGGAACAAGACTGGAGTATCTTAAACATGTGCAATCCCTTGATCCCGCGGAGCTCCTCATCAGGAGAAGTGCGCCCTCTATGAAGATGGGCCAGCAGAATGTGAAGAGCTCTGAGCGGGAGAAAGATACATCAACTACGAGTGCGTACAACACTGGTGAAAGCTGTCGAAGCACACCCCTGACACTAGAGCTCAACCAGGCTAGTGATGAAGGGGAAAGAGGCTTCAAGAATTCAATGTTGTGTTTAGCCCCCGGTCCTGCTATCCCCTCGTCCAGTGACACCGAGAAACAGACTCAAACCCCAACCAAGTCACGGGATTACTCTAGTGATGACAGTGGTCATGGCTACAAAGGCATCGTGCCTGTGCCCGTGGCGCCACAGACCAATGGAAATAGTGGTGGACTCAAAGACCATATCCATATGGGAGAATCTCTTCAGGATTTGTACATTCAATATGCTGATGTCATGTACACAAATCGTGCAAATCTAGAACATACAATTGCAATTCAACAGAAACTGTTTCAGCAGCAGATGGACCAGAAACATCGCACTCGCTCCCTATCAAAGCCGTCTAGTGTCAGTAAGTCGGTTGAAGGCGAGTCCGCCAAGTCTGGTCAGGGTAAAGATGCCACCCAATCAGAAAGTGGTGCTATGGAGTGGGTTGTCAAACGCCGGCCTGATGGCACGCGTTACATCACCAGACGACCCGTACGAAACAAAATCCTGAAAGAACGAGCAAAGAAAATCTCTGAAGAGCGCTGTGGGATGACCACAGATGATGATGCCATGAGCGAGATGAAAACAGGAAGGTACTGGACGAAGGAGGAGAGGAAACGCCACTTGGAAAAGGCAAAGGATTACAAGAAGAAGAAAGAGTTAATGATCAAAGCAAGAATGGAAACTCTGAAGGAAGCAGAGGAGAAGAAGGAGGCGAATATTGTTGAACTGAGTCATCGCAAGATGAACAAACACAAGGGCAAGAAGGTCCTGGACAACTTTGTGACTGTGCAGGAGATGCTTGCCCACGGTAGTCGGGTACCAGACGGAAAGACTTACAACCCGCTACTGTCCGTCACTACCGTATGATGTAGACTGAGTGTCTGTCTGTGTGTCCCATACTGGCTGTGTAACCCATAGTGGTGAGATGGAGAAACCATTATCATGTAACTTATTATATGCAGGAATATTGTCAGTGGCGAGCATTGGAAACTGACTGTATGTGATGGCTTGACATTTTGTGGACTGGAGCCATTTGTATGTTCATACTGTGAAAATTGTGAGACGTTTGAGGAACTTTTTCAATATGATGTCCAAACAGTGCTTTAAGTCTTTGATAATTGAACTTGTGAATTTGGTTAGAAGTCTAAAACACACCAAAGAAATATTGATGTATTGTATGTTTGTCATTGGGTGTTCGAGATAATATCTCCAAAAATTGAAATCATGCATGAAATGTACTGTATGCTAATTAAGGAGAAATTTGTAGCTTCAGTTTTCAGGGAACAAATCCAAATATAAGACCAGTATGTAAGAATCAATAATTTTAAATGCATGATGTATGCTATGTACCTAGCAACAATCAGTCATGTTCGTAATAACATCTCACACTGAAATCATATTCATTCGGTAACAGTTTTCATAAGTCATATATACAGTTAATTGTGAAGCAGAGAGACAATTCCAAATTCTTGTAAATGAATTTGGTCCCGCAAAATTGAACCCAAATATGGAAAATGTTAAATTGCTGTGCAATATGAGGAAATGCTAGAGTTTGAATCTTGTAATACATGATTTCTTAATTTGACAATGGGAATGAAATATGAAGATTAATTATGTAGCCATGACATTCAAACCTTGTGTTTAATAACCTGTATGTATTGCCTGATGTACAATAAGATAAAACGATTTAAACATAGTGTAAATTGTGCCCTTGTGGGGCTAGAGAGCCTAATTTATTCATGTACAGTGTATACCTCCTCAATTATACTTGTGTTATTGTATGGCTAACGCGCGTTGTACTGAAGTTGTATATTTGTACATTTTGTATGATTTTGTCTGCCGATCTAGATTTGCATAGCGATGAAGATGAAATATACTTTTTGAAGAGGTTTTCCCCAGTTAGGTGATGAGTTACAATAATATACAAGTTGGTATTGTGCACATCATTCGAGACGAGAGGGTCAGTATACTGTACTCAACCCAGTAAGTGTCTAGGATCTAATCAAAAGTCTGTCATGAAGGATATCAGTGGAGCTTAATAAATCATGTGCAGTACAGTTGTGTACATTGACATTGTAATTATTTCATTGGAATTTGCTGTTATTAACACAGTGAATGGTGACAGAATATAGTTGACATTTGAGACTATTCACAAAGGGGTGGAGCACATTTTGGGTTGAATACGGCAGTTCACAATCAAAGCATAACTGCACACGATGTGCCTAGTATAGATCACTGCAGAAATATACAGCAAATAAAGGCATTTACCCTTGCCTTGTCGCATGTTGGGTTTTGTACATGCAGTATGAAAGCTGTGAGATTGTGATGTAGTATTTTCCATACAACTACTGTCAGTGAATACAGACTTCTACTGAAAATGTGCAATTTTTGTTACTACACAAGCCTGTATTGTTTTTCTGTTGATGTGAGAATATCAGAAGCAATTCATTGGTTTTGACATCCAAGTGCATCCAAGCCTAAATTCTTCCCCAGGACAAACACTGTCCGATTGTCCACAGCATATTCTATATGATCATCCTAAATGTACCGCATCTGCATTCAACTCATGCCTTTCCTTAAGTGCTAAAAGCTGTCTTGTAGTAAACGTCATCTTTTCAAGTTTGTTGCACTCCATGAAACCAGAGAATTGTTTACTGTCTAGTGTTTGAGAAATTTATTCAAAAGCTCTATCCATGGTCCAGGGCTGTGTGATATTGACATTGCTTCCTGACCATGTATTTGATATAGACTCACTGTTACACAATGTGGATTCCTGAGACTGTTTTCAAGGTGGTTATTTCTGAAATGATTTCCAAATGTGACAACCTTGGCTGCACACTGTAGCCTTGCCCGACTACATGAGGCTGTTGTGTTAAAGAGTTTTTCAGTATTACAATTTCAAACAGATGATGGAAGAATGCCTCCACTGCACCAGGTTGTCACATTCAGAAATCCGTCAGACAAGTGCAATGCATCGTTTATTTAACAGGGACACAAAGCTCCGTTTAAGCTGAGTCAGCTTTTATCTGGATAACTAGTTATGGGTAGTTATCAGTTCATATAAAGGATGTTGTACAAATTTTTGAAGGTTGAAATTTTTATATATAAATATATATATATTATGTTGCTACTGGGTAGTGTTAATATAAGCTTTTTGTGGTCATTGTGCTCTGTATCCCTGTTACCTTGGTAACCACAACAACCTCATTACCTTATATGGACAATCAACACCTCTGTCAGTCACGCAGACTTGGTATGTATTTTCAATCAATGTATTCATCTCATTTTATAGTAAATTCATTTTTCAAATTTTTATTATTATTTTTTCTAGTTCCAAATTATTTTGTTTTTAGACATCATTTGTAAGGCATTGATTTTCTCTTCTTTTTTCATAAAAAATAGTTAACTGATTTTCGGGTTACAATCCCACACTGATGAGACTGGGCTGTATAATGAGATGCAATGCACATACCAAGTTTGAAAGGAATCATTTGTGTATCTACCTTGTAAGCTCTGCCTTCACTGGTGCAAGCTGTATGATAATCAGATTCAATATAGTAGCATCCATGAATGTTCAACATTTCTTTCTGTGAGTGATAAAAAAGGAGACTTGAATAAATTATTGTTTTGTATTTAAGAAACTTTTCTGTCTTGAATTATTACAGATACCTTAGAAAAAGAAGTGTTTGCCAAACCCTTACTGGTGGGTTTCAAAGTGGTACAGATATGTAAGGTCCGTCTCTCTTCAGACTATCCTGTGTTCTCTGTTCATGCTGAAGACCCAGATTCAATTCCCCACATGGGTACAATGTGTGAGGCCATTTCTTGTGTACCCCTCAGTAATATTGCTGGAATATTGGTAAAAGCGGTGTAAAACTCACTATTTCAGAGAATAAGTCACGCACTCACTCACTCATACTGTCCTCCCCACATCAGGCAGACATTTCGTGATGTAGCCAAAATACTCTCAAATGTGACATTAAAACAAGTATAACGCCCCTCACTCAGATCAATTATGTGGGATTGCTTGAAATACACAACACAGGTACACTGTAAGTACTTGGTTTTTATAAAGGCAAACATTCAAGACAAATGTGTTTTTACTACCTGAGCAGTTGTCTGTTGTCCTTATTGTCAGTATCTGTCAATATTTATCAGAGACCACAAGACAACTGAAACTTCACCAACTTGTCAATGCTGACAGTAGTATATATGTTCAAGAGCTGTGATTCTAGCTTTAATGAAAAAAATATTAATGGCTTTTTTGTGACAAAAGTGCTGGAAATTTAATACATGCAACCTTAAATTTTCACTATATTTGCCTCTATACACTTTTCTGAAATTGCTAGACTGAGAAAGCAGAACTTAAATGATGCGTCTGCTTATGACATGGCTCTTTTGGGTCAAATCATTAGATTTCATTACTAGTTTTCCTCATACTCAGTTTTTATGCAAAAAATCCTTTAAAATGAGTACTGACAGAATTTGTTTTGAAGTGGATGTCTTTGTGGACATTTTAAACTGTTGAACATTTCCAGTGAGCTAAAGTACCAGTGTGCGGTATGAACAGTAGCAAATGTAGAATTATCTGTAAATATGCCACGACTATTTTATACCTAAATCTTTATATAATTCTATATTTTTCAATGATTTTTCCATACTATTTTTCATAATTATCAAATTAATTTAAGAACTATTACATATGTACTTTAAGTCTTTATCCCTAGTAGTATACATGGCTAACCCTCAGGAGTTAAACGTAGAGAGTCAGTATTTAACAAAATCCGATCCGATGGCGAAATGAAAACTGAATGAAACGCCCATAAAAGGTTTCACTTTGCCAGGCAACATGATGCGTCAACACAAACGGAAACAAACAGGCGAATTCTCACGAAGGTGACTGTGATCTGACTTGCATCTAACGTATCGCAAACTGAAACAGGTTCACATCCAGACGACATTTCAAAATATATATCGTGCCCGCGACATTTGGTCACACACACCACACACTGAGAGGAAGCGGCTTCATCCAGGTGAACGTCCGCTGGAGGTCGAGGCAAGCTTTGCCAGCCCGGCGTCGCACCAACTCGAATCAGTGTGAACGATCACACACGTGTACTGCGGAATGGTCCCCTACACTGCGGTAATATTAAACACTCCCGTGATTGTTACAGTTAATATGTTGGCAATCGTAACAGGTGTGGGGCGAGTGAGTATGGTTTTACGCCGCTTGTAGAAATATTCCAGCAATATCGCAAATGGGCTTTATACATTGTATCCATGTTGGGAATCGAACCCGGACATTCAGCGTGACTAGCAAACGCTTTAACCACTAGGCTACCCCACCACCTATGTTGGAGAAGCTGCGGTGATTCTTGTGATTAGGTATAACGTTGCTGTCAGCAATTCTCGAGAAATAGTGTGGCTTCCTGTACATAATCGAATCGGACAAACCAGTGGTTGATAACGCGAACTTCGATTTACCCCTGTCGGGTCATTACAATCTGTTGGGCCATCCTCATTTTTGTCGACACCAGCGGAGGGCTTGGTTTTGGTTTCTTATTTAAAACAAAGCGATAAGGAATGAACAGGGACGCTAACAAACACAGCACGACATATCCTAAACTCGCTACTTTCATATACTGGCAAGTGTTAAGCTTTATTTTTTTACGGATTTTGGTATGCGTCCGTGAAATATATAATTTTATTGGCAATGAAAATGATGCGCCGATGCGCGAGAAACATCTGGAGATAGAGTGGAGTGGCAACATGTATTCAGGTGGGAGACAGGTGCGTTGTTGGGCGATGTTAGGAGGGTAGCATTTTCTACTTTTAGTCAGCGGCCACTTGCACAAAGCGAGTTTAGTTTAACGCCGCTTTTAGCAATGTTTTAGCAATGTTTCAGAAATATTTCAGCAATATCATGGCGGGGGGCACCAGAAATGAGCTTCAGACATTGTACCCATGTGGGGAATCAAATCCGGGTTTTCGGAGTGACGAGCACTTGCACAAGGCGAACTTAGCACTACGACTAAGTCTATGTTAAACTCATATTACTGTGCTGATAACGGGAACAAACATGGCCATGCTTAAAAGATCGAAAGAACCTCAATCTTTCGCAAACAGCTTGTATCACCACCCACTCACTCATACTGTTTTCACCACTATCGTACCTTTCACTCATGTAAGGACCTATTTCAGCAGATAATCCGGTTTAATTATTCTCTGACGGTGATGCATTGTTGTCCTTTCTGGTAAAATCGCCATACTGTGCGGCCAATGTGATCGGCCGATGAACAACGTTTCCTAGATTACCCGCTTGGAAGAACTGGTCCAATAAACCCATCTCTGACCACCTGCGTCTAGGTTTGAATGAACCCATTGTTGGTTGACAGTTGAGTATAACCCATTGTAAGAGGCCTACATTACAAATACTATAACCCTGAACTCCATCCTATAACAGTAAGAGTTAGATTTAACGTCCATGGTGTCGTTGCACAAAGCGATCTTAGGTCAATCTTTTAACTCCCATACTTTAAACTTTACGTCAATCTTACAGCTGTTTTGTACAGCGACACCCAGTTCAGTGGCTGTGAGTTATGTCGGACGATAGCCCAACGTTACGTCGGACATGGGTTTCTTTCATTTACCTGTAACCATCGCGATTAGGTGTGGTGTGACATATGAAAGTTGCCAGGGGAACATGGGATTCGAAACCACCACCACGCGCACCCACAAACGAACGCTGACAAGTAAGGTATGCACAGCGAGGTCTGGGGACCTGATCTGCCAGGCACCCATTTTCTCAAAGACGACGAAAACTTTGTTCATGATTACAAGAAACGCCAAACTGACTGACTGACTGATTGACTGAGTTTTGGTTTTACGCCGCTTTTAGCAATATTCCAACAACATCACGGCGGGGGACACCAGAAATGGGCTTCACACATTGGTCCCATGTGGGGATTCGAACCCGGGTCTTCTGCGTGACGAGCCAACGCTTTAACCACTAGGCTACCCCGCCGCCCCAGAAACGCCAAACAAACAAACTAAACAAACAAACAAACACATGAAACAAATGTTCATGCCACAACTGACTCAACGTGGACGGCATGTACTGACATGGGATGTGCCATGGAGACATTGCCTGCTTCTGTCAGTTAAACTCTGCTAATGACGAAACCACATTTTCGGAATAAACCTGCCACATGCCGGCTGTGGGATATAACGTTCGCTCTCACTCACTGTCAGTGGAGCCCGCGCGGTATCTCCCTGAAGTCATACACTCCTTCGTCATACAGTCAGAAATCATTCATTTAAGGTGGAAGACAACTGGGTGAATAAACTGTACACATCACACCTACACGCGGACAGGGTCATTTGTCAAACAACGAGATATATTCATTCCAGGGAAGAAGTAAACTGATGGATGATGCCGTGCTGGGACATTTCTTGAGAATAGTGGTCGCTCTTTTCAGGCGGCGTATTTAAGGATTAATAGGACATGTCAAATTTACGCCACATTCAGCAATATTCCATCTACTTGAAGGCGGTCTGGAGGTAAGAGTGAGTGAGTTTAGTTTTACGCCGCACTCAGCAATATTCCAGCTATATGGCGGCGCTTTGTAAATAATCGAGTCTGGACCACACAGTCCAGTGATCAACAGCATGAGCATCGATCTGCGCAATTGGGATACGATGACATGTGTCAACCAAGCCAGCGAGCTTGACCACCCGATCCTGTTAGTCGCCTCTTACAAGCATGGGCTACTGAAGGTTCATTCTAACCCGGACCTTCACGGGTCTCTGGAGGTAAGAGAATCTGGACCAGAAAAACCAGAGCCTTGACCAACTGTCGTTACGCTGTCAATCTGATTACCATATCTGACCATCTGATTCCTGCAGCTGACCCTTACAACAACCCTGGGTTGCTGATGACCAATACTAATCACTAATACGGTCACACCAAGGCGGGTCATACCGTCACACCAAGGCGGGTCATACCGTCACACAGACGGGTCATACAGCCACACAGAGAGAAGTCATACCATCCTGTCCCCTACGGCAAAACTAGTGAAGTTACCATCCTGTTGAGAACTATTTTGTTGAGAGACTGTTGAAACTTGTCTAAAAGTGACCGGTTTAGATAGGCGTCTCTTAGAGAGAGTGAGTGAGTTTAGTTTTACGCTGCACTCAGCAATATTCCAGCTATATGGCGGCGGTCTGTAAATAATCGAGTCTGGACCAGACAATCCAGTGATCAACAGCATGAGCATCGATCTGCGCACTTGGGAACCGATGCCATGTGTCAACCAAGTCAGCGAGCCTGACCACCCGATCCCGTTAGTCGCATAGTCGCCTTTTGGGGCAAGCATGGGTTGCTGAAGACCTATTCTATACCCGGATCTTCACGGGTCGCGTCTCTTAGAACAGTATTTAGTTTAACGTTTTAGTCCAGAAACTATTTTACACTTTTAACCCCCTTGAAACAACGCCGATGTTTAAACCAGGACCCTTTGTGAAGACAAGACTATTCCCACTAGTCGAGGGTAGTAATATTCCAAGAACACATCAAAGTGCGCTGTGGAACAATGAAAGGTTAAGTATACATCCAGTACACAGACACATGGTCCAGTC